AGCCCAGGAGTTGGAGGTTGCTATGAGCTGTGATGCCATGGCACTCTACCCAGGGGGATAGCTTGAGGCTCCGTCTCAAAAAAAAAAAAAAAGATCAGAACAGTCATGGGTACTCTCACTGTTCTCCAGAATCCTGGCCTCCTGACAAATAAAGTTTGGTGGACCTGTCCCGTCTCTGTATATTGGCTGACAGTGACAGGCAGCCAGACCCTCTTTCTCTGAAAACACTTCCCCTCCTCACCTCCCTCCTCTGTCTTCCCTTCCTCCTCCTTTCCTCTTTCTCCTCCTCCTCATCCCCCTCTTCTTCCTCTTCTGCTCTTACAAGGGCAGAGCAGAAGAGCCCTGGACCTTGGTTTTTACTACTCCTTGTCCCTCTCTGGACATCAGTTTTTCTGGTTATAAAATGCGGGTTGGACAGTGGAAATGTGAATGTTATCAGCTTCCCATCTGCATGGCCAGAGTGAGTGGTTGGCCCATGCCAGGGTGCAAGAGCCGGGGGTCTTGCAGGGGTCCTCCTCTTCAAGGAGCATCTAGCCTCCCAGCTCCCGCAGGGCACCCCAGACAGCCCTATTATTGTGCTTGAGTGGGGGTGTGGCTGAGGAGAAAGAGAGGTCCCCTGGCCTTGGGAGCTGTTGGCCCCTCTGCCCAGCCCTGCCCAGCCTGGACCAGTTAGCTGGCCTATAGCCTGGGACGCTGGCTCACAGACAAACTGGTTTTCCCTGTGGTGGCAGCCTGGAGACACCCAGCCCAGCACAATTCACTTGTGGCCCAAGGCTGGGCTAGGCTCCTGCTGACTTTTCTGGAGTCTCAGGAATTGTTGCCATGGCCTTCCAGGAAGGCTGCATAAAACAGGCTTAGCTGCACCCAGGGCCTGCACAGTCGGCATTGTGTGATGGGAGCTGCTGGCCGTCCTGCTTGGCCCTGTCCTTACCACCTCCAATGGCATGTGAACCTGGAGCGGTCTCCACAGATTACCCCAATACCTTCCTTGGACAGATGGAGATAGGACTTCTCCAGGGCACAGCTGCAGAGGCAGGGAGCCTAGAGGCACAGTTACCCAGGGTGGGTTGGCAGCCACACTGTCCCTGGAAGGGGGCAGAATAGAGATGGGAGTGGGTGTGGGCAGGGAAGGAGAGGCCAGGAGGCTAGGGATCTCTACTCCCCTGAGCTGTCCATGCCCCTGCTGGTGCCTAGTCCTCGGCACTGTGGCAGTGGGAGGTGGGTTCTCCACCCTCATGCTCAGGACGGCTGGGGTGCTGTGAGCCTCAGTTTCCCAATCTGTCCACATGAAGTTGGACTAGATCCTTCTCTCAGCAGTACTGCTGGGCTCAGGGGATGTATGGATGAGCAAGGCCCCCACAAGAGCTCACAGTTCAGCACTTGGGATTTTAAGGAGTGCAGTCTGGGGGTCCATCATAGCTTACCGGACCCAGACTGGTAGTGCCCGAGTCCTGGTTGCTGGTGGTCAGCAGTCTCTGGCATCTGCTCCCCGTCCTTCAGGGAGTAGAGCCTCAGATTCTACAGGAGTGCCAGCTCTGGGCAGGGAGGTAGGATGTGCAGAGGGGAGGAGGAGCCCTTTGAACCCTGGCTGGCCCAGGATCCCTGGCCGTGGCCCCCTCCCACAGCCAGGAGCCAGCTCGGTTCCTTGGCAACATCCTGAGGAATGCAGCGCTGCACACTGGCTCCCTTCCTTTCTCCTCCCACCGCCTGCCTACGGGGCTGGAGGCGGAGGCAGCGAGCCCCATTATAACCAGAGCGAGAGAGACCGCGCAGAGCTCCAGAGGCAGGGGGATAACGCTGAGCTTCATCGAGTGGCCCCAGCAGCCTGCCCAGGCCCCTGCCCAGAACCTTCCACCCCAGCCATGGCTCTGCTACCTCTCTCCTGGCTGCTCCGCGTGGCTGCCCTCTGTCATCTGATCATCCTGCTGGCTGGTGAGTGGGGCCTGGACTTGGGCATGAGTGGGGTAGGGATCCCTCGAACCCCTCCTCTGCCCCTCAGGCCTGCCATTAAGGGCCCCTTAGGTAAGGCTGAAGGTCTGCGGTGCCACTTTTCTGGGGAAATGTGGGAGGGGGCTGGGCCCTGATGGCCCCTGCCTCCCACCCGAAAGTAGAGCTGGGAAGATTCCCAATCTTCACAACTGTCCCTGCCTGTCCCTGTGAGCAAAGGTGGCTGCTGTGTGGCAGCACAGA